GCCGTCATCCGCCAAAAATTCAAGACTCCGCGTTTTGCAACAACTAAGGGTCGAATTCACGACCTGTTGGTTAGAAATCCAACGCCTTAAGCCGTAATCCACGGATTCATCATCCATAAGATCCTGTTTATAAGCCCGATCGCAACCGACTGGATACGTAGCCCGTAGCTCAATGGTTAAGACATTGGCTTTCTTACCAGCAGGTCACGTATGTGAGCCTCAGGGGTGGCAGGACCTGCCAAGTGTCTTAAGTAGTGCAATTGTAGGTCAAACTAGTGTGCACTTGCATAGTAAAGTGGCCCACCAGGTATTTTTACCCAAAATGACTTGTTGGAACGCATTTTGTCAACAAGGGCCGCCTTATTACGCACGTACCGAAAGCGTTTGCAACGTGGGGCAAAAGTAGCGGTTTGCGATCTGTCTTAATTGTGGCACCGATTAAAGACCACCGAATTCACTTTGGAGATCCGAATTCAGGATGTTCGCAAGGAAGGGCTCAAAAATAAAAAAACGAGTACCGTGCTAGAAGGTATGTGGGCGCAAGCAGCATTGAGTTTCATGCTCTTGAAGGGTTTGGTTCTCTGAAGTCACCAAGAATGACTATACCGCCTGAGAGAATTCCATTTCAGACCTTTCGGAAGCGAAGATTTTCCATGCATCTGGCGCTAATCTCCTTTAACTTAATTTATAAAATTGCAGTAGGCTTCAAATCGAGTAAGTTGTACAGTACTTGTAGTTAACGACTGTTTTTACATGATAATACATACTTGACACCGTTGCTTTATAAGTACGTCTGTGTACCCTGCTTGTAAGAAAAATTCGCATGTTAGACGACTATTCTTACAGAAAAATACATTGCCTCCTTGTATTTTTGTTACATCTTTAAAAAATTTGGAAATTTTGGCCACAAAAGTACATAATGCGGGAGTCGAGAAATTCGAACTGTTAGCGTTTCCCACAGATGGCACCTAAAAGGCTGAGTAAACTAGATAAATATACTGTGAAATTTATATTTCACCAAATAATAATGCGATTCATGTTAATTTAAAGGCAATGAGTTGAAAACTGCCATGAGCAAACATGTAAACGCTTTCGCTTAAACGATAAGATGCAAATATATTTTGTTTGCTCACCCCTACATTTAAAATATTTCATTTACATAGAGAATTGGAGGAAAATCGCGTCCTCTATTTCTTGTGACATCTGGTCTATAATATATCCCGCAACAAATTAGGCTTAGATATGTGTGCCACAGTACACAGGTAACACATTATCGTTCTGAAGCAATGAATACCTGACTTTACCCTAGCTGGCACACAATCTAAGGCCGTACCTTTGACACACACTGACTGAAAACATCCATCATTTTTGAATGAAACGTAGAGAATAGCCACGCTTAAGTAGGGCCTATTTTATACAGGCATTCTGTGCCGGTAGGTTCTCACTAGAGTACATATTCTTGGCTCTCTGGAAAAGTGTAAGTTCGAGATTTCGTTTCCACTGTATTGGCATGAAACCGGTAAAATTTAGGTATAGGCCGTTCCAGGTAGTCTTGTGGCAAGCAGTGGGCCTTATCGAACCATCATCCTTTCTACCGACAGAGAATGGCTGCATCAAAGAGGCCCTTCTTAAGCGTGGCTATCAACCGTTTTGTTTCAAGAATTTTGATATGGTGGTATATGCTCGAGGATATTTTCAGTTACCGACTAGGAAAACACTGTTACTATACTATGCCTTCGATGGTAAGTATGCCAGACCACTTTGCTTCGGACATGAGGAGGACTTGAAATTCGTACCAATAATTTTTGGGTAACCTGGGACTTTAGGATGCCGTTAATTTAGGTCCATATTTATTATGAATTCAAATTCCCCGTTTGGAAACCAGTCACGTTTCACAACAACCACATGCATAGCTTATTTCAACCAAACCTGAGACTCCATTTCGTCCTATATCAAAAAAACATAGTTTTGCAAGCGAACGGGGCGGATATGCGAATGGATAGATTTTACATCCCGTCAAGAGCAATATTATCCAATTGCCTTTCTTTTGAATAACTTTATCTCACTATTTAGATGAGAATATACAAATTCTTCCAGTACCAAAGACTAATATGATCTAGCAGAGAAATCAAGTACTTCAAAAAGATCAGGAATTGGTTTGTTAGGGGACAAACTATCACTGAGAGTAAAAAAATGTATTTTCTGAAACCAATAATAAATGCTGCAGGCCGCAATTTGAGTGTCAACTCTCATCTATTACATTATTAAAGTTTTTTTGGCCGCATTTATCGGTTGATATTATAATCTCAATTTGATTGGTCACACAATTTGACCAGTAGGACATCGTACACAAAGTCAGCATAGATTGTCCTTACCTAGAGAGCTAATTCGTATAACAGGACACACTGTGGCATGTTGAAAATTTAGAATAATGTGGCAGCGAGTTTAGTAAACACCAAATGGCTGCGAATACAACCGTTAGTGGCAGCGTTTTCTGTATGAAGCAGGCAGCCTGGCTTGGAGGTCCAGCCTACCGGGGTTTTCTACACTACAATCGACTCATTTTTCTCTCTATCCTTGGCATGCCGGTGTGTGTAGTTGGAATATTCACCAGCGGCCTCAGTATCTCCTTATTCTCTCGAGACAAGACAACACCGCGAACGACCCGCAAGCTCCTGATCGTCACCTCGGCGGCTGATGTGCAGTTTCTTCTCTTCTCTCTGCTTTATCTCCAGCCACTGACATTTTGTGGTCGCGGTTGTCGCCTGCGATGGATATTCCGATCCAACCCCTACGTCCTCTTCATTTTCTCCTTTGTAAATATTCTTGAATGCTTCAGGAATTGGTTGGTTGTGCTGATCGGCGTGGAACGCTTCCTAGTCATCTGCCATCCCGTTCGTAGTAAAGTCTGGTGGAATGGGCGGCTAACTAATCACCTGATAATAGCCTCTTTTGGATTTGCTATCCTGGCTCGACTGCCTCTCATCTTCTACCTGGCATTTGAGGAGGCGGGACGAGAGTGGTCGCGGGTGGCGTTGTG